AAAAAAAAAAAAAAAAAAAAAAAAAAAAAAAAAAACAAAAAGTTACATTTTACATTCACATGAATCAAAAAGTATTAAAATGCAACAAGATAAGATACATTCCTTCTCTCCCAGCCTCCATAAATAAGCACCTTTACTTGTGAAAACAGAAAACATGAGCAGGCAGCAATGCCTTAAATGTGTATGTGCTGAATGGCCTAAAAGACCCTCTTCCAATCCCTGTTAAGGGGAGGGCTGTCTCCATCTCCTTTCCTAGGACACTACTGCTCCTTTTCATTGATAAGACCTAATAAAGACTCTGCCTCTGATCATCTTGGTTCATTTAGTATGCTGCACCACTGTCTAACAGAAAAAGCATAAGCAATTGGGCAATTAGCTCTTTCAGCTATGTACTTTAAGACCATCCAAACACTCAATGACTTAAAAAGCACTGATTTAAGAAGTATTTACTATCTACTCTGCACTAAAAAGTACAAAGAAAATAATACTTATAATTACTTTAAACATGGTAATACTTCCCCATATTCTCGAAATCAGGGGTAAAAAACTACTATACAACAAAACACAAAATAGTATCTGAATTATAAAGACTGCTTTCATTTTCCTCCCCTCTGTGTCCCCAAAATGAAAACCATTTGCCAATCTTCCAAATAACAGATTTATCTTAGCAAAAACTATTAGCATCATGCTGAAAGCAGTAAAGGAAATCAACTACCTCGTTCTTCAGGTGAGAGGTCACTATCCTCGTCTCCACTGCTTTCTTGTTCCTGAATCCGATACTTAGGCTCCAAGCCTTCAGCAGCAGCTAATCTATGTAACAATCATGTACAAATAAATTAAGTGATATGCTGATATTATTGAAGAGTCTTATTTAACTGTTAACTCTTACAAAAACACCTAAAGATCATTTATGTGCTAGCTATAACCTGATGAGGAAAATCAAAAGCAAGAGAGCAGCAATGGGCTGGGCATGGTAGTGCACACCTGTAGTCCTAGATACTCAGAAGGCCGAGGTGGGAGGACTGGTTAAGCCCAGTAGTTTGAAGTTGTAATTGTGCCTCTGCACTCCAATCTGAGTGACAGAACAAGACTGTCTCAACAACAAAAAAAGTAGAAATGGGCATAGAAACCAGTAAGCAACAATAACAGTGGAATGGGTGCTAGAGGTCAATAAGTAGCAAAGGAAGAGAGCTTTTATGAATTAACTTATTTTTGCCTTTCTCACTGCTACCTTTAAAAACAGGAGGCACGGGCCAGGCTCGGTCGTTCACACCTGTAATCCCAGAACTTTGGGAAGCTGAGGCCAGCGGACCTCTTGAGGTCAGGAGTTCGAGATCAGCCTGGCCAATATGGCAAAACCTCGTCTCTACTAAAAATACAAAAATTAGCCAGGCGTGGTGGCATGCGCCTGTAATCCCAGCTACTACTGGGGAGGCTGAGGCATGAGAATTGCTTGAACCTGGGAGGTAAAGGTTGCAGTGAGTCAAGATCATAGCACTGAACTCCAGCCTCAATGACCAAGTGAGACTCTGTCTCAAAAAAGAAAGAAAAATATCCACAGGGAATCCTGTGTTCATGTACTCTGGTCTTCTTGCCACCTACATACCTTTATTTTAATTAAGAGACAAGAGTATAAAAAAGTTGGTGACTCAGAGGGTGAAAAAAGGGGAAAAAAGGGAAAAGAAGTTGGCGTAAAACATTTTGATAAACAGCCTTTTATTTACACTTACATAGGGAAAGCAATGTAAAATGCTTCTAACTCTGCACAATTAAAAACCGCGTAAGTGAAATGTGTTACAGTCATTAGTACTTACTTCTTGGCTAAGACATCTGGTGCCATGGCTTCAGTGGTCTCTGTATCACTACACGCATCTTCATCATCACCCATCATACTAGTATGACAAGCACATTGTAATTAATACCTGAAACATAAATTTTCAGCCACAAAAACAAGGTAGAAAAACAATTCTATCAACCTACTTAACATATTAGTATATTTATAGCTGTTGTTAAATCTTTGAGGTTTAACTTTAAATCATTCCTATTGAATACAAATACTTAAAAGTACAGCACCCAATCAAGAAAAGACTCCAAATGATTAAGAGAAAAGCATACAGTCTGCCTGACATATCCACGGAATCCACATTAATGAATTCAACCAACTATGGATTGAAAATAGCAGGAGAGGGCCGGGCGTGGTGGCTCACGCCTATAATCCCAGCACTTTGGGAGGCTGAGGTGGGTGGATCACGAGGTCAAGAGATCGAGACCATCCTGGTCAACATGGTAAAACCCTGTCTCTACTAAAAATACAAAAAATTAGCTGGGCATGGTGGCACATGCCTATAGTCCCAGCTACTCGGGAGGCTGAGGCAGGAGAATTGCTTGAACCCAGGAGGCGGAGGTTGCGGTGAGCCGAGATCGGGCCATTGCACTCCAGCCTGGGTTACA